TTGTTTATTTGTAACTATTGTGTTCTTTGGAGTTATGCTATCCAAACTTCAGAAACAGGTGCAGGCATTTCAGGACAAGTGCAGTTGCATCTATTCCAGACAAACACTTCTCTGTTTTAGAGGATACTTCTTTCTTTTTAAAGGATCAAAAAATGCACGTGAATTTGAATCTGATGTTAACAAGCCTGTTAACATGCTTCCAAAGTAACATGAAGACAATCAATAGGGAAAAGCCTTGGGGAATAACTTAGTGCTTGCTATTTTTTTAAATTCAATATATTAATGTTTCCTTTCAAGAAAATGCAGTCTGAATATACTTAATCATTTCCTTTAGTTTCTTTTCTTAATGCTTTGGCAATCCACAGTGACAAATTTCGCCACATAATACGGTTCTATCAAAAGATTCCATTTTCCAAACTAATGTAACCCTAAGCCAAAACTTTCCTTATATTTTCATAATTTTCTTAGGCAGGGGAAGCTGAACGATAAAGTTTAAGGTCACATTGCAGCGTATTTTTTCAGTTAAGGGATTTGGGGAAATAGACCTGAGTGGCAAGCAGCCATTAGGAATAAAGCAGTTATATTAGAATCAGAAAGTAAATTGGGTGTAACAAAGAGGACAGTCGGGACACATCAGGATGCCTGTTCATGCCCTGATCATTTCAGTCACACTCAAATTGGGTCAACAGTATTATCTTTGAGGGGTGCATGTATGTGTGTAGTAAAACAGTCATGTTGGTGTATGGGCGAATGAACATACAAAAACACGGGTTTTTGTGGATGATGAACAACAGATCGGATTAAAAGAAGTAAATAAAATTTATTTATTTGGTGGGTGCAGGGACCGTGTTTCAACATATTTGTGTCCCCTATATTCATGATGTGTTAGGCATAAAATATTTACATTTAAATGCATTACTGAATAGATAAATGGAAATAATGTGAATGAATGAATAAAATGGGAATGTCAATTAAAAGAGCTAACTTAAACTAATCCTTCCAGAGATTTCCTTGGACTTAACTAAGACCAATACTCTCAGGATGGCAAGAATAGGAGCTAAAAATAAAACTTCATTTCATCCGAGCCTTATTATATTCTAGTCTTGCATGAATGACTAGAGAATATTGATGTCATTGGGTTACTTCTGTCTCATAACACAAAGGTATTAACATGCTCAATAATCAACTATATGGCACTCTTCTTACACTGCAACTTAGACTGGTAATTAGGAAAAATTTAAAGACTAATAATTCTCTAAGCGTAATACCATACAGCATAAAGAATTCTACAGATTCTGTAAGAATGATAAAATACTCCAGAGATTGATGTCTGCTACAGATCATAATGATGTTCAGAGAAGCTTAGTTTCATTTAAAAAAAAAAAAAATCTGAGTACCCAGAGGACAGTTCTTCCTCAGAAAAATAAAGTAAAATTGGAGAACTGTATTTGCATCACCTGGAGATTAAGTTACATGAGTAGTCAGGCTATATGTGTTTACAGATGACACTTTAATGGCAGTATGAACTTTATCAGGTTACTTAATTTCTCTGAACGTATTTTCTCCTCTGCTAAACTATAGACAGTAATGCCTCCCTGTCTGAGTTAGGGTGTAAATAAAGAACTCAGTAACGGTCCAATAGAGTAGGGTATCTGTAAATATGAGTTTTTTCTTCTTTCCTCAATTTCTCATTCTCAGTGTGGGAGCCAAGCTGTGGAAAGCTGGCCACGTTCAATTCACTTCAACCAGTGGATCATAAAATCACAATAATAGATTGATGTCTTCTTGTGCAAACTACAGTCAATTGTGCCATCACCTCTTCCTACCCCTACCTGTCCATACCCACTGGGTGGAGTCTCATAGGGTACGGAAGAAAGGAAAATGTGAGAAAAAAGAAAACAGGGAAGAGGGATTGAAGGGGAATAGGGTGAGGTGGAATATTAGATTCCAGGGCAGCCTCCTTAATGACAGTTCACCTGCTCAGCCTAGAGTAAGCACTCCAAGACTAAATGACTCACTGCAGGAATTGCACACAAGCTTACACAAGGATTAAAGTGTCAATTCAGGAGTCATCACCCATCTGCACCCCACGACCCCACTCCCTCACAGTGAGATGCACTGGCTCATAGGGCCCTGAATTATCACTGTAATGCAGTTAGTTTGAATTTTTCAACCCAGTCCAAAATCAGGATCAACATCAGAATTATGGATTTCACAAGAAAGTGAATACTCATGGGAAAAAGGGGCTCCAAATCAGCAAGTCATACACTTACAATTTTAACATATAGCCTTTTATATGCCTCCCTTATTTTAAAATTGTGTCAATTCACATTTATCTCAAAGGCAATCTCAAAATGACACTGTGGCCTGGCGCGGTGGCTCATGACTATAATCCCAGCACTTTGAGAGGCTGAGGCGGGCTGATTATGAGGTCAGGAAATTGAGACCATCCTGGCTAACATGGTGAAACCCCATCTCTACTAAAAATACAAAAAAATAGCTGGGCGTGGTGGCGGGCGCCTGTAGTCCCAGCTACTCGGGAGGCTGAGGCAGGAGAATGGCGGGAACCCGGGAGGCGGAGCTTGCAGTGAGCTGAGATAGCGCCACTGCACTCCAGCCTGGGCGACAGAGCGAGACTCCGTCAAAAAAAAAAAATTACATTGTCAAATGGCATTTCCTGAATGCCAGCATAGTTTTAACTACCAACTCTATGCTTACAACTTGAAATTCTCTTGGTTTAGCCCTGACCCTGACTCACATATTCAACAGGCTTGGAAAAAAAAAATAAACTTTGGCTTACCCTTTGTCCTCTATGCTGGAGATGTCTAGAAACAAACTTGACAGCTTCCTTCCATATTCCCCATTTCAGTAAATGGCACCAACATTTTCCTAGACACTCAGACTAGAAATCTGATAACGATAGCACTCTACTGCCTAAAACCATCATCAGCCCCTCATTGCCTTTAAAATAAAACCTGGGTCTGCAGGAAGGTAAAAAAAAAAAAAACCAGTTCTTGTTTCTTAACCAACTTTACCTTTTACCACATGCTTCCTTACTTGGCATTCTGGTAATTTCCAACTGAGTCTGGTCCCATGCACAGATTCTATCCTCTGTTCTTTCTGCTTGGAATGCCCCTCTCATTTTTCTTTACCTGCAAACCTATTTTTTTTTTTTTGAATGAAATCCACATGCATTATGATCCAATAACCTCCTGCAATGCACGAGCCCTACATCGCCACCACTGTGAAGAGCCATATCACCCTAATTAAAATGTCCAAGAGCCCTCTTCCCCACGATTCTCATCATCTCTTTGGAACATAGGCGCCACTCACTAGTTATGAGCTCTTTTATTACCACTGTGTTGACAGCAACGATAATGAAGAACATGAGCATGTATAATGAATAATAGAAAAAATGCCCTCAAGAGAGTAGTGTTCACAAAATGTTTAGGAAATCCTCTGGAGCACAAGACATTATCAGAAGAGGGAAACCCTTCTACAAAGGGAAGATTTAGCAGCAGGCTTTCCCCAGTCAGTCTGGAGAAGGCTTTGAAGTTGCACACTCATAATTAAATGGGGCAGTTCTTTTATCTCCCTTTGCTGGCAAACTTTCAGGAGACCAGAGGAGTTTGTATCCATCTGCATGCACCAATCAGGCAGTCAAGCTTAACAAGATGTATATGTGTATGTCTCTACCTTATGGATTATCAAATAGAACTGGACTGAAAATCTATAACTCCATTTTTGCTAAATGATACCTTTTCAGATAGATTTCTGACTGCTTTCTTTTTCTTTGTACTTTTAGACATCCTGGACTTACGTATTTTATTTCTTTGCATTTAGATTGCAAACTCCAAGAAGTCAAAGATCATGGCTGTCTCCTGTCTGCTACTGGCTTCTACCACACCAGTAGCCCAGATGTCACTCAGTCCCTAACAGACAGTATCTGCCCCCTAGTATTTACAGTCAAAGATTTTTGAAACTACTAATGGATATTTAATTATAGACTACATTGCAGAATAACTTTAGTTTAAAGCCTGTCAAAGAGTTAATGCACAAAATAACCCTGGGCGTTGTATTATCCTGTTTTGTAATACATTAATACAGCTGTCCTGATGGCAACTATCCTGTTCATTGTCGACAGCTCTGCGAGTTTTGCAGTCTCAGAGTTGAACTGAGTAGCTATCTAGAGCTAATGATTCTCCTGGGTGAGGAATTAGACTAACTTGAAAAGAGTGGGTGCCCTCTCATCTCTAGTCTTCGCCAACTTCGGGGATTCTCTGGAGGTTTTCCAAGTCACTAGTAGGAGCACTGCAAATATAAAATGCTTTGGAATGCACATTCAGTTTCTTTTACAGGGTCTGTGAGAATCAGAAATCTTAAAAACAGGAAAATATGTATTTATTTTTATTCATTACTTTTTACATTTTTGTGGTTGAACTGAGTAGCTGAGCAGCTATCTACAGCTAATGATTCTCCTGGGTGAGGAATCAGACTAACTTGAAAAGAGTGGGTGCCCTCTCATCTCTAGTCTTTGCAACTTTGGGGATTCTCTGGAGGTTTTCCAAGTCACTAGTAGGAGCACTGCAAATATAAAATGCTTTGGAATGCACATTCAGTTCTGTGAGAATCAGAAATCTTGAAAACAGGAAAATATGTATTTTTTTATTTTTATTCATTACTTTTTACATTTTTGTGAGTACACAGTGGATGCATGTGTTTATGGGGTACGTGGGGTGTTTTGATACGGACATGCAATGTAAAGTAAGCACACCATGGAGAATGGGGTATCCATCCCCTCAAGCATTTATCCTTAGTGTTACAAACAATCTAATTATACTCTTTACATTATTGTAAAATGTACAATTAAATTATTGACTATAGTCACCCTACTGTGCTATCAAACAGTAGGTCTTATTTATGCTATCTAATTTTTTTTTGTGCCCATTAACCATCCCCACTTCCCCCTCCAGAAAAATAGGAATTGAAAGAGCCCTTACCTGAACAGAAGTCATCAGAATATCGGTCATAGACAGCTCTACAGTCCCTTTCATCGCACTCACAGGTGTCCCCATGAATATCTCCCCAGTCCCCAGTTGGATCAACATCGTGACAGGTACATTCACCACATACACAAGTCCCTAGGTGGGAAGAAGAATTTTATAAGAATCCAGTCAAGAAACACCATGAAAGAAAGCATTTCACATATTTCTTATTATTTTCTGCTGCTTACTTTGTATTTGAAAAAAAACCACATATATTAGATAAAAACATTCTAAAAAGGAAAAGCACCATCTAATATTGGTAATAGAGATTCCTTAATAAACAAAAGTTATTATATATTCTATAATTATGTGAGTTGGTAGAATGTGTCATTAGTATTGTGTTAGTTTCCTTCAAAGATAACACTAAAACAATTTATATAAGATATAATCCTTTCCCTCAAGAAGCTTGCAATCTATTTGGCAAAAAGAAAGCTAATTAGAAAGAAAAATTAGCAAACACTAAAAACAATGTGTGACTATTTTGTAAACTAAGACATGAATGCTCTAAGAATTTGGAGAAAGAGGATCAATGAGGGTTGGAGTAATTAGCAGTGGATGGATTGGATATATACGGATTAGAGGAAATGTTCTAGGAGACATTGGAGGTAGAACTAAGAGAAAGTCAAGAAGAAAAGACTAAGCAATGAAGGGTAGGGATGGGCATAGGGACCCTGAGGTGCATGTTAAAAAAAGACTAAGAAGTAAGGTTTGCTAGATCAGATGAGTCCAGATTATAGAGAATGTTGGAGATCAGATTGAGAGACATAAACTTGGTCATCTGCAGACTTGCAGAGGGAAATACTCATCTGTAAATCATATTTACTCTGTGTGGATTATCAGTAACTGTCTTTAGGGCAACCAGCTAATCATTTGATAGAGACATAAAGTTAAATCCTTTTCTTACCTCTAACAACAAAACCAGTTGGATTAAAGATTTAAATGTACACAATAAAACTGTAGAATATGAACTAAACTCTTTTTATTCAAGACCCCAATGCACAATTACTAAAAAAGGAAATTGAAAATTTCCAAAAAAAATTGAAAATTTTGGTTGGAAACAAAACATTATTTAAAAAAAAGACTGATAAAGCTGAAACAAGTGGTTAATATGTCTGTAAAAGACAAAGAATACTTACAAAAACATATAAATAAATCACAGGATTGAATATAGAAAGGATTAATATGCCCAAAGTGAAATAGACAAAACCAAAGAATAGGAAATTTCATACAGAAATAATGATAGATAAAGATGAAAAATGTTTATCACTCAATTGACCACTACTAAGCGGGTAGCAGTGGGAGAGCTTCAAAATAATCATGACTGGCAATTATTTCAGATGTCAGATTGTCAGAGGTGGAAAATATTGCTTGGATCCAGACTTGGTAAAGGTGTGGGACAATGGGTACTTTCTGGCCCTGAACAGAATGTACAAAATGGTACAACTTTCTGGGTAGGGATTTTACAATATGCACTTTTTATATCTGTGTTATTATTTAGACGTATAGCTCGCTTTAATTAATGTACCCAACAGAAATAAAAAGTACACATGAGTATATGTTCAGAAATATAAAATATAGTTGTATTTATATTTTTGAAAAATTACTAGTGACTGAAATATTGATCAGTGGGGAATTAGCGCAGTAATGGTACACACATATGGACTAGCTGGCAATCACTGAGTAATAATTAGGTTTTTGCTCCATAAATATGGAAAGATAAATAACATATATTACAAAATAAATAAAAGTGTAAAATTACAAATCAGCATGTACAGTATGATTTGATATTTTTCTTTAATAAGAAGGAAATATAGGGATAGGGCAGCCACACAAGTGAATTTTAACAAATAAATATGGACTGAAAGTTCATGTGACAATATGTAAAAGGAGGTTACACCTGGATGTTAGGTTTATGGGTCATTTTCTTATTTTTCTGTGTACTCTACTTTGTTATCTAGATTTTTAAAAATGAATATGCATTGCTTTCATAAGAGGATAAATGAGTTTGGTCAAGAGGAACAGGGACTAGGAGCACGCAGATGTGAAAAAGCAGCAGCTTCTCAGCCATGTGTAAATGGGTCCAATATGAAACTCAATAAACTGGGTGGGCAATAGAGGACATTTGTTCTATTAATGGCTATGTCTGCGACATTGGGTTTTTGGCCCCTGAAGATGGGGAAAAAGGAAGACAAGATAGGTATGTGCAGGGACCAGCGTCTTTCTATTACCTATGGATGCAATGGCACAGAAACGCTTTCAGGGTAGTCAGGCGTATAACCTTTTTAGAAAAAACAATGACTCATCTCAGCACCCACTTCTGCCCTGTCTTCATGTACCCCTGAGTCTCAGAAGCGGTGAGTCTCGTTGAGGCAAGCTGCTTCCTATTATGCCTCTGCCAGATCTCCAGGTCAGAACGCTCCCAGCACAGCAAAGTGGGAGGCAGGTGGCTTAGCTTATGTTTCTGAAGGACGCCGTCTCTCACAGCCAACGTAACTCTGCTGTGGAACCTGACCTTAATCCACGGCCCAACCAACTCCATTTTCCACCTCTCTCTTTTTGACAGCTAAATAGTAATTTTCCACAGTACACAGTTCAAGCTTCATATACTTATAAATGGTAACTGTGACCCCTACTGCATAAAAGGACCTATGCAGAAAACACATCCTTATACATAAAAAGAAACCATAAGGTAAATTCGTATGATACTGTAAGATTTAATCCTCACAAAGAGAGGACTTCATGATTTTGTTCCAAGTTCCTGCCTTTTTATTTATTTTCTCTATGTAAAGACATGTGGCACATTTTATTCCTCTATGTCAGTTTCTGAAAGGCGGTATGCTACGGTTTCTGTACTAGCATTATCTATTACAATGCACGTATAGAAACGAAAAAGAAATTTTCCACCTACCTGATTTTTTTAGTTTTAAAGAAGAAGTATAGTCACTTTTTAATGTCATCGATAGGCAATGAAAAGTTTAGGATGGCTCTCTTTATCATTATGACAGAGGTAAAATTAAGTATTTTCAAGGAATTTTAAAACTATGTTTAAACTGTTTGATTTTATATCAAAAGTTAGTTAACTACCTTTAAGTTATAGTTTAGCAATATTAATATATTTGTTAACTTCCTTTGTAAAGTCAGTGTACATTCCATATGGCTATTGGATACATACTTTGTAAATCTATTGCATTCAATATCACATTTTTATTATTGCACACAGAAGTTAAATTAGTCCATATCAAATCTGCATTTCAACCAAGCCTTCCATTTACTCATAATTAAGACAAGAGGGTTTTCTGAATGCTCTCTGGATAATTAGATGCTCATGCTGTAGATGGTTCTGTTAGTCAAGAGACATTTAACAGAAGTATCTACAGGAATTGCCTTTTAGCTGTACTGTGCTATTTCTGGAGGGCTGCCAAATAAATTACAGTCCCTAAGTTAACTGTTTATTCAGTGAAGCTTAAAGAATGACAGCAACTTTCTTATCTTTCTCTTTTCTACTCAATAAAAAACAAGACAGAAAAGACTGTTGATATAGTAAATGTTGATTTACATCAAAGTAAATGATTAGAAGATAACTTCCTCCCACACTAGAGGACATACAGAAAAAAGAAGTGTTAGCAATTAAAAGCTTTGTTTGCCTCCCCATTATGTAGTAACATGTATGAATGACACACCTCTGTTACTGCAGATTTTGCCATCTGGAGATGTGCATCTTCGCTTGCTTTCCCAGGGGGTGATATCGCACTGGAATTCACATTTATCTCCATGCCAACCAGCCTTGCAGTAGCAGTTTCCACAGTAACACTTCCCATGGCCTTTACCCAAAATGAATTTTATACAGTGAGGAAAAAAGCAACTTTCATAAGCAGAATTAACTTTCTATCTTTTTGTGATCACTTTTGCCTTCTGAAATAATGTCACAGTTCAACATTCCTTGCCTAAAATCATCAAATTATACAGCTTTCTCCAAACACATCATGGTTGTGCCTTTACCTGCTTAATTACACAAAAAGAGCAAAGTGTCCTTTAACTTGGCCTAGACAGAGAACTGACTGAAAGTATTTTTAACGAAATGACATGAATGACCATGAGAGTCTATTACTTTTCCATCTCAAATGCACGTATCAAACCCAAATATATATGAGCATTCACTCTAAGGATGTCTCTTGAATTAGTTATTAAAATATTTCATTTGAAATCAACTATTGAGAAACCAATGGTGCATATTTACCTAGATACACATTATGAAGGACCAAACAACTCTTTAAAGCAGAAGAAATATTTCATCTTTTCACTCAACTGTGTCCCACAAGCTGTTGGGTTCTACCATGTGAAAGAGGTTTTCAGCCTAGTCCATGTTTAATCCTCATTTAGACAAATAAAATACCACGGGCCCTCGGCCTCACAATCAAACTCCCTTTCGACTTGTCAAGGGGATACCAATGACAGCTAAGGGCACTCATCATTTTGTGTCCAGATGCCCTCTTTCAGCTCCTACCTCTCTGTAACCTGTCACCTGCTCATCTGCACTTGCCTCCAAGCCATCTGTAGTGAATTATCCCATCATTGCTTTCCTCATCCACATCTAGCAATCCTTCTGCAAATTCCCCAAAGATGGTATTTATCCCAAAATTTACTTCTTGTACTCTCATCTTTGTGGTTATATCACCTAAGCATAAATGTAGGTCCTTGCTCTTGTTTTGTTTTTAGTCTATTCTTTCTGTATTATAGGTGTTTGTGTTTTATCAGTCTATGGCTAAAGTCTTTGTCCTTTCCATCTCCCTTCTCTTATAGTCAAAATCCCCCAAAGACAATGCAAAACTGATTATGAGACTACTTTTCATTGTCTTATAAGCATATTTATCATTCTAACGCTATGGTATCTCTGGCCAATGGCAAGAACTTTAGTAGGACTTAAAACTCACATAAGAAGCAGGAATTACAATAGAATATTCTGGTCTCCTATGCTATTCACATCCAGCAGATGAGACTTCCATCAAGAAGACATACATGTGAGACACAGAGACAGACAGATAAGGAGAAAGAGTGCTATAGTGAGACACAGAGAAAGAGACAGGGACCCAGTGCCATGTTTTCTGTCTAAATAAGTTATAATTGGGATATTCAAAGAAAATCACTTCTTAACCTAACAATCAATGACCATTTCCATAAAGAATCTGAATTTTAAATTTGTTTACTTAAGCAAGTGCAAAGGCTGTCAAGTGATTTAATCGGTACAGAAGATATCATCTATATATTTTATTTATGAACTTAAAACGGTGTCCACTTGCACACACAACTAAATCACATCCTAGTGATATATCACAGGCCTCAATAACTCAAGGATTACACTGAAGAAAAGCAATAGTGTATATTAATTGCTTTTCTTAGGAGTCAGGTTTGTAAGACACAATCACCTTTTTAGACTACAGAATTTATTTTCTTTGTAATTTCAGAAAATTTATACAGAAGGTGCTACATACGTAAGGCTTACTATATTAACAAATAATAGAAAATCTATATTTCTCACATCCAAATTCTTTAAATATTTATACAAGTCAGTATCGAATTCGGGTTCTACTAAGAAACCTTTGAGTTAGAGGTAAATAAGGAAGCAAAAATTATGTAACGATACACATCTATGCAGATATGGAAAATTAAACAGATATCCACATAACTCAAATAAAAATATTGAACAAGACACATCTGAATAATTGAGATTAAAATGTGTGCTTTAGGACAATACATATTCCACACAATAAACATAATTCTTTGCTTTGTGCAAACTGATAGAGCAAGAAAATCTCTATTTGTACTGCTTCACTGATGAACTGTAGAATCATCTCTCAGCAGATTGGTTTCATGTGAATGACACATGGAAAGATTTACAATCCCAGGCAATGTCACCCCCAGAGGGTGTTTACTAGAGTGCTGGTGTCCTTGTTCAGAGACTTTGCACCATGAAATTGCTTAAGCCTCAAACAAATGGAAATAACAACTAGAAAGTTTGAAAGTTAAACATTTTCTGTTGTGTTGTTTCAAGTTACATGTTTCTATGTATACATGTAAATAGACTCTGCTTTGTTGGTGTGTATCACCACACACTGGCCCCAAAGCATGTTCCAGTCTTCTTTTTTTTTTCCATCTGTAATAATTAGAAACTAAACTTGAAGAGGACAAATACATATATTTGTGGATGGATTTGTCTAATTGATCTAATTATTTTGGATTGAGCCCTTTAAGAGAGACTTGTCTGAGTAGCATCTTGCTTAGGTCATTGGCTTGGAAAAATGAAAACAACAATTTTGTGTTTGCTTGCTTTATCCAGGTGGGTTGTACAGCCAGGAGATCAAGGAGGAAAGGCCAGTCAGGCCTAAAATAAGTGTATTTGTATGACTTATAGGAATTGAAGCTACCAAAATGTAAACAAAGGAACAAGCTTGTCCTATGCTAGCCACACTTTCTCAGGGGTCTCTGGTTCCACCTGGCCCCATTGGGTCCTAATCCTTCTAGAAAAACAATACTTCTAAAACTACTATTTCTGCATGTGGGGCAGTATTCTTTCAGCTGGAATCCTATCAGATAGGAGTCAAATATAAGTTCAATCATAGCAGAGAAGAATTTACCTAAACCGAATGATTCTCTCTGCTTTCTACTTTCCTTTTCCTATGCCATTCAAGGTTGCAAATGGAAACTCTGGGCACAGGCTTGCACGTTGAGCAGAAGAGACGAAAACTACAAGTGGTGAGGAGAGACCCCTCTTGTGGAGCTCTGAGCTCTGAGGCACTGATGCAGTCGGGAGTGATGAGGCATCAGGAACACAGACACGAGCCCAAATTCTACTATCATCGGTGGACTGACCCTGGGTTCATTACCTAATTTATTCAAGTCCCAGGTTCCACATCTATCTATGAACATAAACATAATTCTTACCCTAGAGTGATGTTGTGAGAGAAAATATAATGAATGTAAAGCACTTATTGCAGAATTTGTCACTAGCAAACATGCAAGAACTGCTACAACAGAAAAATGAATTCAGTAATGGTGGTACATAGAAAAGGTCATTGCAAATGTTATCTAAGTGTGTAGGGACGGAGAGGGGGAGGTAAACTCTAGGCTAATAACCCTGTTGACCTTCAGTGTCCCCAGTAGGATGTGAGACGCATGTTTTAGAAAGGGAAAAACAAAGAAATGAAAATACACACTTAAGAGAGTGGGAGAAACGAGAATAAAAGTGGCTAAGGTGAGCAGAGAAGATGGTATTCTACTAGAACTACTTCAGAGCTATGCAATTGGTCTGTTGCCATAATGACACAGCTCTCTTCTGGGGACAATTTGGCTTTGCATCTAAAAAGTACTAGTCTACTCTTAATGCCATAGTCTCACTCTCCTTATGTGAAATGTTTTCCAGATAAACATAGGTTTAAACTGAATTAGTACACCTAGAGCAGAAATTTATGTAGAGATAAAAGAACAATGTAATAAGTGAAAAAACAGGTACTTTTATTAATTTCTACAGAGCCAATATACATACCTCCACATATTTCTTCTGTTTCATCATCTATGCATTCTCTATCGTCACACTCACAAAATTTACCATACACAAGTCCACTTCCATCTGAATTATCACACTTACACCTGCCACAGTGACATGTACCTAAACCATGAAAACAAAAAAGACTATTTGTTACATGCATATAAAATTATAATTAGTGGATTTTTATACCCATTCTTTTAAGAGAGTAGATAATCCAAGTCAATTTAATATTTCAATTAGATATTTCTGTGGGCATGGTGAGGTAAAGTGCACGCTACTCTTTCTTGAGGTTACTGTAGCATGGCAATTATATTTTACATCACACAACTATTATTATTGACCTCTAATGGTTTAATGAATGTAAATTTGACATCTTTAAGCACAGAGCTACTTTACACATAGCCATCCAACCAATGCATGAAGGTCTTCTGATCACACCTGGGTCTGAAGTGAAATAAAGCAGGAAATTCTAAGCTTTGGGAGGGAAACAACCTTGCTTATCTTCCTCACCAGTATTTATTCAAAGCTTTGCACAATGTTTGAACATACTATTTATGTAGTAAATATTTGCAGAAATAATTTATTATCAAATGCATAAATAAAAATCATATGTGCCCCTGATAATTTCCCCTCCTAAGCATTAACTTATACTGATACACATGTCCTTACAATAATGGGACCAGAGTGGATTTCCTTAGGCATGGATTGCTGGGACCTCACCAGATTCTCAGGGGACTTCAGAATTAGAGAGGCATGGTAGTCATCTGGTCTACCACGAGCCACATACTCACCCAAGTCTGAAGATTCTACCACATCCCCCAAAAGTAATTTCACCAACATTAATACTGCACTCAAAAAATATTGACAGGTAGAATGCTCACTTGAGAAATTCCCTTTTTAATGCATCTATTTTGAGTTTTAATGCTCATCACAGCCATCAACATGTATCCACCGAGACTTGATCACTCACAAGAAACCACCCCGGACTCTGAAAATCCAACAGGGAACAAGTCAGCCATAACCCTCCTCTCAGAGTTTTATATGAGCAAAAACCAATGTGATAAAATAAATACAGAAGTGCAAAGTGTTGCAGAAGCACACAGCAAGGGGATTTAACTGAGACCAGGAGGTCAAAGTCAGAGTCCCTGAGGAAGTACTTGAGAACAAAAAGCCAAGTGAAAAAGCATAGCTAAGAGAAGTGAGATGGCAAAGAGGCTCACTTCCAGCACGAGACAATAGCACAGGCTCTGCAATAAAAAGGGAGGTGAAGAGAAAACATCACATGGGATTGAGGTATACAGAACAGCGTGAAAAGTGGCACGAAATGAATAAAGCAACCCGAGGTGCAGTTCATGGAAGTCTTATAGGTCATGTTAAAGATTTCCAGCTTCAATCCAACAACAGTTGGAAGACACAGAAGCAAGGGAGTCCTGTGATCACGTATGAATTTTAACCAGATTACTCTGGTTGTCATGTAACAAAAACTAAATGAAGCAATAGCATAAGAATGCATGAACTAAAATGAGGCAAAAGTGGCCACAAAGAAATAAGTTAAAGGGCTGTTAGATTTATCTGAAGGAAAGAAGACAGTGGCTAGATACATGATGCAGTAAGTTTAGAAAGGACCAAATGCATTTGGAGATATTTTTAGGAGAAAGAGTAGAGGGCACTTGGTGACTGACTGTAAAGGGCAAAGGATGGTGAGGAACCAAAGATGCTGTTTATAATTTGGTTTGAATTACTAGATATTGGCAAATCCATATGTGATGTATTAGAAACAGCATGAACGTGTGAGTAAGGTAGAGCTGTAGCTGAATTCAGAGTTTTAATCTTCATGAGCTATGCATTTTTAAAGGCATTGCTTTCATTTCTAATTCCCAGATTCCATATCTGCAAATAATCTCTGCTTCATAGAACTGCTGCCAATACCAAGTGATGAATATGTACCCAGTCATGTTTCTAGAAGCATTGCTGAACCTAGTACATAGCAGGATTTGAGAAAATTCCAGGTTCTTCCTCTTCTCCCATTAAGATACAGAGTATATTTGTCATACTTCAAAACATTTTCTCCAGAAAATATATTTACGGACGCTGACAATATCCTTGTTTTCATATCCTCTGTATGATTCTGTTACCCAGATCACTTGTAACTCACTATTATCTATAAAATTTTCTCTCATAGTTACATATAAATGGTGATTTTGCCAAATTTATTTTTCAACCTTGCAAATACTCATGTGAATTTTCCTGCTATTAAACTTCATTTTATTGCATTTTTCCCTAAAAGCTATCTCAATTCATAAAAGTAATTTGAAATCTAATGCTATAATTTATGCTATTGCTTCATCTAGTTTTTATTCTCTAATTATCACCCTCCTTTTTCATTTTCACATTTATTCATTCTGTCTCTCAACCACCCACATATCCAGCCATTAAGCTTTCTTGTTATCTATTATGCTATTGGCAAGGAACTAGGTGCTATAGAAAAGAATGAGATGCTTAAAATTAAGTAAATCATAGACCAGGAAGAAAGAGATACCCTATTAATACATTTCGTATAGCATTTGCCACAAGTCTATTGCAAAAGCCTTTGTGTCATATGTTTTCTTGTTTTATAAATACAAATATAAACCTATATAAATATTATACATGTAACAATATATAATATGGGTCTCTCATATACAATATGAGAACAGGAAGTCACTTGGTTAGGGTTGTGTATGGGGAAGTTTTTCAGGAAAGATGGGAAGGAACAGCCTCTGTCTCCAAATTCTATGACTCCTCACTGAAGTCCCCCATAGGCAGCTTCCTCTCATCCACGCGTCAGAACCATTCCTGGCTGATGTGGGAAGTTTACAACAGCTCAGAGACTTCCTCTCTCACCCATAAAACAGAATTCACAACTGAGCCTCCAAGATATGGCATATGGACACCCAGGCAAAAGCTCCAGACTCCTGTGCTCATGCTATGACACACAGCTTCTCTCTCGTGGTTGCCAGTTATTTCAGCTTCTAGGATTGGTCTTCTGCCTTACACTAGATTATTTTAGCCCCTATTTCTCATAGTGCCCAATAGAGCTGAAGCTCTCTAGGATGACTGACCAGACATGTACAGCAGCCCACACCCCTGTGCAGTGGTGCTGGGGCCTCACTCTGCTCTGCACACTAGACCTCTCTTCTAGTTTTCCCAGAAAGTAAGCCTCTGGAACACTTTGGTTCCCAGTTCTATCTCATCCTGCCCTTCAGTCTCATTCCCCAATCCATTTAACTCCTCTTCCCCTTCTGCTCCAAACTACTCGAGAAAACCACACCGTGATATGAAAGGGAAAGATTAATAGAGAGACTTCATAGGCTAATGCGATTTGGGGGAAGTAGTCCTGAACTCGGATGGTGGAAGTGGGTATTAAAAGAAAGACAGGGAGAATGAGATTGCCAAAGTAAACATGAAAGGCTTAGATATTTAGACAAGAGTAAATGAGACAGAAAAGATTAAATGTAACACTGAATACAAATGTATCCTTTGGCCAACTGCATTTCTGGTGATTTGCCTTGAATATACACCTCCAAAAATATAAAAATATATGTACACTAGATCATTCTGTGCAGTATTATTTACAATACAAAATACTGACAACTGTCTAAATGCTCAAGCATAAGAGCTCAATTGAATAAATTACATTGCATACACAGAATCCAGTCTTATGTTTTTGAAAAAATAACCAGAAGGATTTCTATTAACTGATTTGGAGTGAATTCCAGGAGATTATACTGAGTGGTAAAAGCAGAGTGCAAAAGAACACATGGAAAGCACAACCATTGCACAGGAAAAAAAATGGGAAACAATAACACACAAATATTTCTATTTATCTTTACACAAAAAGAAATACATGCACAGAAAAGGAAGAAAGTGATAAAGTTGGTTATCTGTAAGGTGAGGGTAAGCCGGGTGCAAGGTTTGATGAAGAGAGTGATGATTCTCTGAGTATGCTTTTCTGCATAGCTTTGACTTTTAGAAGCAAGTTAGTGTACTATACATTATAAAATATATTAATACAGATGGGAAGGGATTATAAAACCTAAAATTGAAAGTGATCTGAAATAAATAAGCCAACTTGTATTTCAAACAAGTGCCGTAACCACGTGAAAAGAGAAGAAAATAAAATAAGTCTGAGTAACTTATAACACAGTATTCGATTACATACCCCAATCTTGGGCATGATTGAGGTACACTGAGTGGGGGGAAGTGGAGAGGGGTGGACTGCAAATCCTAATCTCTTCTGGTAGATTTTCTTGGTCTAGTGGTGTGTCTGCAGCACTTCTAGAAGTAACTAGAGATGTAGTATAGGATTGAGCAAATAAGTAAATATGTTGGAGGTATTGGGAGACAGGGTTCTCCCTGTGAAAATGGGACATGCAAATATGGAATGGAGAAAACAAGAAGTGAGGCTGGACTAGAATTAGATGTATTGGTGTAAATTCATGATTTCTAAAATATGCATGTATGTGTACATGCATATCTTTGTGCAGGTATGTGTATATGTATTTGTGTGTATATGCACAGGCATATATTTACTAGTGTCAAGATAAATTAAAATGGAGACAAGGCCTAAAGAATCCCTGAGCAGACTAAGCCATTGAGGCCCCATAAACAATCCTAACTTTGCCTGATACTCAAAAATAAGTGAAACTTACCTTAAGTTATATCTTGTAAATGTCTACATTAAAGAAGAACAGAACTTACGTTTAACCAGTCAGAAGCAACCAACAAACTTATAATTACATAACTAGGGACTTTCCAAAAGGATAGACTAAATAAGGCAATCATATAATGTTAGCCAATCAACTATTTTTCTTTGCTTTCTTTTTCTGTTCACCCTATAAAAGCCTCCCACTTGCATTCCCTCAATGAAGCTCCTGAACCACTTCTGATTTGGAGCTGCCTGATTCACGAATCATTGTTTGCTCAGATAAAATAAAAATTGTATTATGATTCAATCTACCTTTTTAACACAAGCCTGTTTGCAGAAAGGGCCAAGAAGCAAATGCACTCCAGTGGAAATAAGCATTCCTAGTGCTCACAATTTTTATTCAAATACCATTTTCACTAAAAGGAATCAGGGCTATTTGGATAAGTGGCTGATTCCAAAGGTGTGGTGAAGCAGGTCCAATATGACCCTGGAATGTGTTATTATGCCAACAAGAATTGCAAAAACAAACCAAAAACAAAAAAAAAACAAGGGAGGCATGTCACAAAAACACAAAAGCTAGCCCGATGGGCTCTAATACCTAATCTGGAAAACTCTGTGCACCAGAATAATTTTGTACAAAATGAATAACAAATCAATGAAATAATAAGAATTGTGCTTCTAGACTGATAATAAGTCACTAAGTAAATGAAATATCAAATAACTGGTAAATGAGAGAGGATTCCTGTTTGTGATAGAATGCTGAGTGCCAACTAGTCCATTCGGAGAGAATGTTACAGTTCTTAAATCATCATTTTCCAGTCATCATTGTCAATACTGTATCAGGTTATTGTCATCAGTGGATGATAAATCTAGGGTAATTTTAGTGAGGAATGTGATACATGTATGTTTTTAAAGTGTTTCCTCATAGAATGCACATTTGTGAAGAGGGTAAGTCAGAAATAACACCGTTGAGACACCAGCCAACACCTTGACCATCTCATCAAAACTGACATCACCACTATGAGCATATGGACATCATGTGCTTCCATATGAAACATTTGGAGAATATGAAACCATTTCTCCAGTGTTTTACCTCAGAATATGTATGATGAATCTAATCATGGGAGACATAAGACAAATCCAAGATAAGTACACTTTTCTTTTAATAAAATGGGGACAACTTTCTTCACAAGTTTCAATGCTCCGAAGGTAAAGTCTGTGGAAATGGCCCAGCTTAAGGAAGACTAAAGAGAGACATAAACATAACATTTTCAATAGACTGAATCCTGCAAGGAGAGAAAAATGCTATAGAGGACACTATTGGGTCACTTGACTAAACCAGATTATGAATACAGGTATTGCATCCATGCTTAAAAAATGAGAGAGTACAGATGTCCTAGAAATGCATTTATATTGTATTGAATATGTTTTATCAGCCACTGAAACACTTCTGTATGTTTTCTCCTTTAAGATATGTTAATGTGGTGAATTACATGTTTAGATTCCTTAATATTAAACATCTTTAGAATTCTAGACTACTGCATTTGATTATAATGTTCTTTAAAAAATAAAACCCTAAATTTGATTTGCAAACAACAAATAAATAAATTCAAAAATAGATTTCAAACCCAAAACAGAACTCAGGTCTTGTTTCTGAAATAAATTTGAAAAGAATTTTTTCAAGATGAAAGACACTATGGGGTGTGTGTGTGTGTGTGTGTGTGTGTGTGTGTGTGTGTTTGGAGGGGTGGGTGTTATGAATTGGAAGTAGAGGAATCCTACTAAGAAGAAAGAAAGACTGAAGTGCTAGAGAAATATGATGAGAACATCATGAACACAGAAAGGGACCTAACTGCTAAGACCATTTGTCATGACCCCTGACAGATCCACTCACACCTCGCTTTGGATATGGTCCTGATTCCTATCAGCAAAACACCTTTACTGAGCTCAGTCTAAAACACACAATCTGTTGCAATCAGACTGTGGGGAGTTCTCAGCTCTAGTTAGAGGTGGGCCCTACCGACAATGTGAGCTTCGGGAGGAAAGGTACTCATTCATGAAGTCAAATCCTCACCTTTAGCATTTAGAGCAATGGGTTGCACACTCGATCTATATTAAAATCACCCAGAGAGCTTTAAAAAAACCACCAAAGTCAAGGCCAGACACCAAAGCACTTGAAACAGAACCTCTGCTGTACTACATGAGAACTGACGGTTTATTCCTTTCCCCTTGGGATGCTGATGTTCAACCATGGTTGAGAAAAACTGATTTTGAGGTTTCACCTGCCCAAATGTAAAAATAGTATTTAATTTAGGTAACACTCACTAAACACCATTGAAACCTAAACTGCAACTCTTTTATATGATTTTGCTAATCAATTTTAATAGCATCTCTATAATTTTGTAAAAAGTATTTTCGAATAACTTCTATAAAACAAAAATATTTTGATCAAACAAAAAATCTTTCTGAGACTATATCCTTCAAGGAGTTTATAACCAGTATATCTGAAACTTCTATCAGACTTAAAGTATTTGGTTCTATTTTGTGAAGGTAAAAATTCAAAGCACCCTTCATCTGTAACAGAAAATAATTAAGTCGGTTTATATAAATTCCTTTTAAGAGATGTAATCCGGTATTCAATATCATGGCTCACAATTTACGTAAAATGTTGTTGGGATGTTGTTTCCAGTGAATATCCTGCTAGAAGGAGGCATTTGGAACAGCTGGAAAGTATCAGACTTGCCTGTCTCAGCAAGATGGCATTTTTTTCTATTGATTTATCTGAATTTCACTTCTAAAAAACACACTCAAAAGCAGACTCACTCAGAGATTCGACATTTCTCCATGCCCACATATTTCCATTAAAAACAAAATTTGATTATTTCACTTAAGCATTTTCACAGGGTATACTTCTTACCTGCATTAGAGCAGATGATGTCTTGTGAATTCTTGCACATTTGGTTACTTTTCTTCTTTGTCAAGTCACAGTGAGTTGGGTACTGGCAAGCATCCCCATACCATCCCTGGTCACACTTGCACTTGCCACAGTCACACTTACCATGGCCTGAGGATTGAACAACATCTAGTCAGACTCAAATTGTTTTCCAAAGATAACCATTACTATAACACATACTCTTAACAGTGACATTGATTTAGGACTGAGCTATAATAAATTGAAACTCATGTATATCACAGTGGCTGAGGGGTAATGCTATTATATAAAATGCAATGGAATGTGAAAATTTTATTTCAATAATCAACGATAAATGATTGTGAAAACATTAATTTATGAAGACATTAGGACAATACATTAAAAAGCGTAATAAATCACATAGTCAGAAAATTCAGCACTGAAAAAACATTCTATCCAGCATCTCAGTATTTAAGAGACAAAAGTCCAGTGAAAAAATACTTCCACTTAACAGTATTTTACATAACACATTAAACCACAAACCTTGAATGAAGACTTTTACATGAAACTCTACTGAACACTGGCCTTACAGTTACTCGAATTAAGCATGTAATGAAATTTATGGATATATTATATACCATCTTCAGTAATAGGGTCATAAAATATGTATATATTTTGTTTCATATTCATCCACCTCCACAGAAATGTCTCAATCTTCAATGTTCTCAATAGTCATTTTGCTTTAATGCATGTTGTTTTCGTCGTTGTGATCAGTAATGTTATTAAGTCCTGCTTGATGAAGCCTACTAGTTTTTATTGATTGCACATTAGTCTGACAGAAGTACAAAACATGTGCAGTACTTAGTCCTTGTCCTCAAAGAACTTACAAACTTCAAAGTCAAGGCTAATATACATAGAAGCTGATTGCAGCCAGAAGTGATTGTCACCTCGAGTTAAGTTGAGCGATATAGTCTATGACCTATAGACATAAGAGTAGACACTTTCTGGACTTCCTTGACAGTTAACTGGCCCTTGAAAGTTGAACAGATTTTGAATGAGTTACAGGAAGAGTGTACATACATTACTCAAGACAATACTACTATGTCTAAATGTCTAAAATTCACAGGCCACATGAAGTCATTGATCCGATTCAACGTGGTAGCTGAAATCCAAGGGATAAGGTCCAGATGGTTGGTCAGTATGAATGGCTTGGAAGCTGCCCATCTGGGCATGTTCGGCAGAGTCTGAATCTGTGATTGCCTGTGACTTTAAAACTGCTCTTTATGTGGCCCAGTCCATGTAAATGTTCCTATTTCTGTTGCATTTATAAAATTAATTATTCTATTGTATAAACAAAACCTTGCAACTATCTTAATTGAAATTCATTCTATTCGGCACACATTACTTCGCCAAATTGATTGCATCATTTTGCATTCCTACCTGGCCTTACAAGATATTGTCAATCTTGGCCAACTTGGTATCATTTATAAGCAAAAGTGATCTCTCCTGTCAACCACCTAGACTATTTATAAAAGCATTAAGCCAAATTCCTGCAGTGGCTAAGGCTCTTCGATAAATCAACTATCTTGGAAACTGTGTTGACTCTTTAATAACATTAGTGTATTAGGTTGAACCATATGGAATTGCCACTTTCATAAGTTGAATATCAGCTGTTTCTTAAGGTTCCACACCAATAAACAGTCTTCATACAAACATTAAAGAAAATAGAAACGATTTAGAAGATAAAGCATTATGGTAGCAATAATTTGGTGAATCAAGAATGAAAGACTACTTAATGTGATTTTTAAAATTTTATATTGAATAGGACATCTTAGATCCTAAAGTATATACAATAGAGATGGGAAGTAATTTGCAGGTCAAAGGTTACATCTTTTTAAAGGTTAGAAGGTTAAAAATAGAAAGATGGGGGAAAATAAACAAAATGTATACAAGATAGGGAGAGATGCATCCCTTCCAAACTGACCCAATGAAGCATCAATAGAAGAAATATTCTAAGTAGCTTATCCCCTGAAGTGAGTTCATGAAGGCTCAGTTTCATGAAACTCTCTTCCCAGAAGATTCTAGAGTAAAATAAACACGGAAAAGACTCTGCTATCTTCTGTTTTAATGTGTCATGATATACATCAGCACACTAATGAGCCTCATATGTCCTATCATGAAAAATATTTTTAATTTTTTTTAGCTTAGAATTTGCAAAACTTTGGCTAGGAGGCCCCATTTTCTCATAACCCATATTAGCATCTTAGGCACATGCTTAAACTAACACTGTGTCAGACACTGTAATGTGTTTTCAGCTTCTTCCTTAGCATCTGTTTGGAGGCAAAGATGACAGCTAATGTCAGACAGGGCCATCTGCCTTTACATTGTTTCTAAACTTTATGCCCAGTAAGGGTTCCATGATTCATTTTCTTCCATTTAGGAAAACTCATTGAATAGGAATTGATTTCTGACTGTCAAGAATTATCAAATAGCCTGTGTAACCTTGTTTAAAGATAAATATATATTTAAAAAATAGTATTCAGACTATCTTTTACAATGTTTTCTAAGGTTAGTAAGAGCTTTAGCAGACCTCAGGGGATTAGGTTGCTATATTATTGTGGCAAGGTAATCTATGTTACAGCGTTAATAATATGGCTTCAAAAAACACCTCATTTTTCAAAATAATTTATTTGTTATGTGTTAGTTTCCTGAATCTTCCATAAATAAGCACCACAAACTCGATGGCTTAAAAAAACAGAAATTTATTCTCTCACAGTGATGAAGGCTAGAACCTGAAATCAGGTTGGTTAGTTCTGGAGGACCTGAGGGAGAAATTGTTCCATGCTTCTCTCCCGGTTGCTGGTGGTTGCAGGTAATCTTGGGCATTACCTGGCTTATGGCAGTGTAACTCTGCCCTGATGATACTGCATATCCTTTCATATGCTTATTTGCAATACATCTATCTTCTTTTACCCATTTTTGTATTGAAATTTCAGAATCATTTTTATATATGAATATATAACATATAATTATATATACATATGCACACATAGACATACAAATACACCTATATTTCTACATATATGTTTATAAATTTATATATACATGTATATGTATGTTTATCCTGGATGCAAGTTCATTGTCATATATATGTATATATAAAAACATATATATGTATATCAACATATATATGTGCACATATATATATCCAGGATACATATGTATATACACACATAAATTGTTATAGATACATTTATGTATGGATATATATGTATACAAATTGTGTATACATATATATGTATGTATATCCTGGATAGAAGTTCATTGTCACAAATGTAATTTGCAAATATTCTCTCCCAATTTGTGACTTGCCTTTTGTTCTATTAACAGTATCTTTTGAAGAGTAAAAGGTTTTGATCTTAATCCAATTTATCAAGTTTTTTCTTTAATAGTTGTTTTGTGGTATCTACCAGAAAAACCTTTGCCTAACTCCAGGCTTATTCTTCTGCTACAACCACAGTCTTGATTGCTGTAATTTATAGTAAATATGGAAATCAAGTATTCTGAGAACTCCAACTCTGTTTTTTTTTAAATTATTTTGACTTTTGTAGTTCCTTTGATTTTCTACATAAATTCTAGAATCAGTATGTTGACATCAGCAAAAAAGCTTGCACAGATTTTGATAGGGATTGCATTGAATCTATAGATAAAAGTAGAGAGAATTGCCAATCTTAACAATATTTAGTCTGTGAATACAGTGAAATACATTGGTTGAGTTTTTAATGTTGTACCAGACTTGCATCTTGAGACATACCTCATTTGGTTGTTAAGTATTATATTTTTATGTGTTTATATATTGGATTCCATTTACTAATATTCTATTAAAGATTTGGTGGTCTATGTTTATGAATCATACTGGCAAGTAGTTTTGTTTGTTGTAAGGTCTTTGTCTACTTTTAGGATAAGGCAAATGTTGCCCTAATGAAGTGATTTGAAATGTATTCTCTAATCTCCTAGTTTTTGGAAGAGGTAGTATAGAATTAGCATTATTTTATCCTTAAGGGTTTGGTAGAATTTGCTAGTAAAATCATGGGAGCCTAGAATATTCCTTTTTACAAATGTTTAACTATGATTCACTTTGCTTGACCAATATTGGGCTATTCAAGTTATCTATTTCTTTTTAATTGATTTTGGCAGATTGTGTCTTTCAAGAACTTGGTCCATTTCATTTAAGTTCCTGAAATTAACAGGCATAGACCTGCTGATACCATAAGCTTACTATCTTTTTAACACGCATAGTGTTAGATATTATGTATGCTATTTCATGCTGATGCTGGTAGTATTTGTATGTCTTATATGTTTCTTGATCAGTCTGCTTAAAAATAAATCAATTTTATTGTTATTTTCAAATAATCAGCTTTTGGTTTTGTTGACTATTGTTTTTCTCTTTTCAATTTCACTGATTTTTTCTCTAATCTTTATTATTTTTCTTCCTTCTCCTGTATTTGGATTTAATTAGGTCTTTTTTCTATTTTCTAGGGTAGAAGTATAAATTAATTTTAAACACTTATTCTGTTCTAACATAAACATTTAATTCTGTAAGTTTTTCTGTAAGTACTATGTTAGCTGCAATCCACAAATTTTTGATGTTATATTTTTATTTTCATTCAGTTAAATATTTTTATTTATAAATTATTTTATTTTCATTCATTAAAATATTTTTAATATCCCTTGAGATTTCCTATTGACCTACGGGTTATATAGCAGTGTGTTGTTTAAATTTTTTTCAGATCTATTTCTGTAATTTCTAGTTTAATCACATTATTATACAATCATACAGTTTCTTTTAAATTTCTGAAGGCTTCTATTATGACCCAGAAGATGATCTATCTTGCTCAATTTTCCTTATGCATTTTAAAATAATGTATCTTCTGCTGTTCTATAAATGTCAATTTGGTCAAGCTGGTAATAGTTTTGTTCAGGTTTTCTATATCCTCACTAATTTTCTATCTACTTGTTCTGTCGACTATGATAAAGGAGTATTGACATCGACTACAATTGTGGATTTCTTCCCCTTTCAGTCTGTCATTTTAAAAATTTATGTATTTTGAAATGCTTTATGTGCATATATATTTAGCATTTTTAAACTTAGG